GAAGCAGATCTTTGACCCAAGAAAGGGCTTAAGGCTCTCAGCTCTCCCATGAGAGTGTGTCTCTTCCCATGCTTTGCTCCATCAGTGTTTAAGTTAAGTAGGGTCTGTCAGAGCTAGCCCCAAGGGCCAGGTATAGAGATGACAGGTCACAGCTGAAATGGAGTGTAGCTAAGGGAGAGTTCTCTTCCCTGCTGTTGCTGGGAGTCAGAAGAGCCCCGAATCATCTTGGCTGCGATGCAGGACCCTTAGCAAGAACACACCAGAAGAGCAGCGGTTGTGTTGTATGTGTAAATATTGGTGTGGAGGTGACAACAACAACCAGAGTTGTGGCTGGGAGCTGGCACATCTCCGACCTTGTAGGCTCAGGAGGACACTATCTGCATATGGGTCATGTAGACATTGTGAGCCATTATTCAGTTTCTCATAATCTCTGAAGCACAGACATAAACTGTGAACATTCCCTGGCTGCCACAGTCACCTCACCTGTCCCAAACCGCAGGACATGACTGGTCTGCTTCAGATTTGGGGAGTGATGCTTTGTAGCCCTGGAGGCGGCTGTTTCAAGTCCTGTGTTTACAGCTGTTGTGACAGCTCACTCACCAGCACTCTCAGCTGAAATGCACTCGAGTGGCAATTCAGTCTCTACCTTTCAGCTCAGTTTCATCCATGCTAATTTGGGGGAAATGGAGGAATCTTCCTGCACCAAGTTGTCCTCTTTTTAAATCCTTATTTAAAATTCATCTCTGACAACTACAAACCATTCCCAAATGGTAGAAGCTGATTTTTTTTTCCCCAGCTGTTCTGTATTGCTACTTCCTCACATCCTCTCCTTTAATGCTTGCTCCACTCTCCACATGAAAAGGCATCCACCCAGGAAAACACACTGGGAGATGTGTTTCACCTTATGGCAGCTGGCACAAGGGTGCTGCACCCTTAAACTGGACTTCCACATTGCAAGCGGATTAGATCTGTGCCCAGTTCATCCCCAAAATGAATCAGTGCATGCACAACCATGAAGGAACAATCCTGGCCCTCACCAGGGAAGAAATAGTTAATTATTTGCCTTACAGGAGAGTGCCTTGGCAAGAGTTTTAGTGCAATGACTCACTGGGTCCTGGCGGGACTGGAAGTGCAAAGACCCTGTCCACAGAGAAGCAACTTGGGAATCCTATGGCAGCCTCAGCCCTTGGCTCCTCGGAGCCAGAAGAAGTTCCAGCTGTGGCCTTACAAGGCCAGAACGAGGAACCTGCTGCCGTGTCCTGACTGCAGCTGCTGCCAGGCACTCTCTGCACGAAGAGCTCTGTAAATCTCTGCCTGGGGGCTGGTGGAGGCTGGAGGAGAGGGCTGGGCACCAAGAGCACTCAGTCATAGCTGCGTACGTAAGGGTTTCAGGCAGTGCACTTTCACCAAAATACTCTTCTTATTTAATGTCGCTTTTGCCTGCCAGATCCTGAATCATATCCAACCCTCTGGAGGGAAGTCACGTCTCTCTCGCAACCCATTTATGGGTGAGGGATATTGGTAGCTAGGTGTGTCTTGCCACCCAAGTCTTTAGGGTAAACCTGAAGGTCCTTATGGTCTAGGAGGAGAGATGGCAATGCATAGGAATGAGCCAGACAATTCATAGCGCCCTGGGAGAGATGTAGAGCTGGTTCAACTCCCTTTGGCTCCAGTAAGCACCATAATGCTCAGGACTGGGCAGGATTAGGTCTTGAGGTGTGTCCCACCTTCTCTATAGTTGAGCTACTCAGCCTCTTGGAGGCAGTGCTGGATGACAGGCACTTCCAGTCAATGACTCAGCCCATCCTAAACCCTATCCAAAACAGATGGGATGGATTACTCTCTGGAGGTGTCTTTCCCTGCCTAGGGAGGGATTAGATGCAATGCCCAGCTTTCTGATGACTGATTTGGGGAAGCAGAATCCCACCCTTCATTTTTACTGGGGATGAGGTAAAAGCTACAGGAGAATGAAGCATATGGCCTTCATAATTTTGTTTGCTTTGGAGCAAAACCATGTGCACATTCACACATTGTACATATGTTTGTATGTGTATATATTACACAAATTCAGACATGTAGGGTTTTTTGAAATTGCAGAGACAAACACATGATAGAGATGCCAGGATCCAGGTAGCCTGTGCCTCTGCATTAAAATATGACAGAACTTTTTCCTGGGAAGAACTGACTTAAACTCCATGGAAATGACTTAACTGTGACAAAAATAAGAGACAAAAAGGAAAGAGAGTGAAAGAAAGGGAGAGAGAGATGGTCGCAGTCCTACATTTGGCCCCTGTACAAGGGTATAGGGAAGTGCTGTGTTTTCTAGGAAAGTCTGCTTCATTTCCCTCCTGACCCCTCTGCAATTCTAGCTTGGATGCTGCGTGCACACAAACTGCACTGCTGCTCTGCGTTCTGCTGTTTCTCCTTTTCCTTTCTTTTGGCTTGACAGGCAAGAATGTCACAAGGAATTTCTGAGCACACTGGAGGTGAGATACTGTCTCTCTTCAAGAAGGCCAAAGCAAGATTATTTTTCCTCTTGCCTTGTTCTCACAAGCAACAGAGCTGTTAGGGTCCAATAAATCCCTCCGAGAAAAGTGCATTTTGACAGAACGTAAAAAAACTGAAAAGAAGTGTTTTGTAATAGAAAAGGTCAAGTGATGTTAATTATAATCAGAGCTATAATATGGGTAATGAGACTTGGGGAATTTCCCTCCAAATCATTGCTTCTGGGCACCTCTGTTTCTCTCCCTTGCCTACCCTGGCAGGGAGTGGAGGAGGGATGTTGCACATGGGGAGCTGTTGTGGTCTCATTGTTTCTTGCTTTAACATCCTGCCCAAAATTTCCTTCAGCATGGGTTGGCATTAAGGCCTGATCACACTCACACAGGATAGAAACTTCTCCATTTTTGCTTTCTGCTTACTTTGATCCCATTTTTTCTAAGGGACAAATGCATAGCCCACTGTTGTTATCACAAAGTAAATCCAAGAGTCCTTTTCTCCACAGTGGGATTGTGGCTTTGCCCTTCTACACAGGCATGAGAGATAGTTTGGCCTGCTGGATCAAAGGCTGGAAACTCCAGGTTTTGGACATATGTGGCCTTGACATCATTACTAAAGAAGTCTGTGCCTCAGTTTTCACTACTGTAAAAAGGGACTGTGAATGTTTGAGTGTCCCTCTGAAGGGTGATGTCGTGTATTATCTGATGCATTTTTGAAATAAAAAGGCTAATATAAAAGAGGAAATGAGAGAATGTAAAACCTTCCCTTTTTTTCAAATAAAAGCTATTTAGATCATCTTAACAAGTTCTCTATGGACTTTTAGACTGGGGAGACAGCCCTCGAGTTTGGGGCAAGCATTAATTTTCTTGAAGGTTTATTTGGTGCATGTCATGTGAATGTGGTGGAGTTCTCCCCTTCTCTTTGAAAGAGCCGTTTTCACCAGCATTTGGTTTAGCATTCTGATCTACGAAACATTCATAAAATGCATGGCGGTGAGACGTGCAGCAATGTTCCAGCTAAGCAAATGGAGGGATCAATCCTGCACTCCCTACAGAGAAAAATGGTTTATGCCGAAGACTGAAACAGGCAGGGAGGGATTCCAGACCTGGCTCCAAAATGTTGGAAACTATGGAAAATATTCCCCTTAACTTCAGATGAACTGCAAGCCAAGTCACCAGCTGGGAGGATTAGAGATTCTACTGTGGTGGTAATTTGTTTGCAGTTTCATCATTGCATCATTGGCTTCAATGCAGAATCCGGAGGGATATTGATGACACAGCTTGATCAGTCCTTTGAGCTCCTTCCCAGACTGTCTCTACATAGCAACATCAGGCTGAGAAACGTGAGGTTTCCAGCGCTGCTGATTAACTTTTCTATTTTTTCTGGACAGGCCCTTCACATATTTCCCTGACAAGCATGTAAGAAACCTTTAAATCTGATCATTCCACCATATAGCTTTCCTTGGAATTTGAAAGGCTTAATAGTGGCCAAGAAGGGGCAGAGCTGAGAAGGTGCTCAGCCCTTTGCTTGCAGATATTGCCTTGTATTCCTCCCATGTGTTTTGCATCTTAATACAGGATATGTTTGCATGGACAGAGGCTGCTTTTGGGCATCTTCTCTCACCTGGTCTTACTAAGCTGAAGTTTGTCTCCATGCAAACACAGCTGCAGGGCTGCTAAATTGAAGTTGGTCACAATGGGGACTACTGGACACATCTGCACTCTTCCTGTTGACTTAGCCTCAGTGGTCTGCTTTCCCATCACCCAGGACCCTTACCCTCTGTGACTATGAACTTGCCTTGATACCAGCCTTCCTCACTCTGGTTGCCTATATTTACGTAGGATGATGAACAGCAGAGCAACATAATGTTGGCACGTTGCTATAAAAACAACATGCCTGGAACAAAACTGACCAACCAGTAGAATCTGCAATGACTGGTCAGGGCTTCTTTTTATATCTTATTTATTTGAACATATCAGCTTAAATATTTGTTAATTGCTGGAACTATTCACTGAAGTATGTATATACCAATCGGTGTCCTAATTATGAACAGAGCATGTACATCCTTGCCATATTTAGAGGTATTTCAACTTGTAAGTTTTTAGCCATGTGCTACTTACAGCTTACTGCAAGTCTAGAGGGCTTTAGAAGAACTCCATGAAGCTTTTGGTATTAGTCTGCATTATTCAGTAACTCTTAGTTCAGTAACTGGGAGCTTTTATCCTAGTTGCCATGCACGATTTTTAAGCTTAATTAGATTCAGGCAAATCTCACATCTTTGAAAGATCTTTTGGGCAAGCTTTGTTCTTTCATCCTATATTTATACCTGGCACCACAGAGATCAGGCCTTGAGACAGGGAAGGACATCCCCATTTTCTTCACAAGACAAACTGGCAGTGTAGAAATATCTGAAAGATCAGTAAACAACTTAAGAATTAAATTCTTGCCCTCTAAAGTAGTAACAGGTGTGCCTACTGGTCTCTTTTCTCTTCTCTTTCTAGACCAAAGAAGCTCTCTTCACAATTCTCCAGGACCTAAGGCCTGAAGACCACTTCAATATCATTGGCTTTTCCAACCGAATAAAGGTCTGGCAGCAGGACCGGCTGGTGCCTGTTACTCCAAATAATATAAGAGATGCCAAAAAGTACATTCATAACATGTCGCCTACTGGAGGTACGATCCAGGGATATGAACGGGATTAATTTTGCTACGCAATTAATTACACTAGAATGGAGAGTGGTGAATGTGGTCCTATAGCATGTAGTAATAAAAAGACATTGGGACTTAGGTCATGGGACAAGAGGGCCCCTTCCCTGCGTCCACTCAGGGTTATGTGACAGAATGGTATGTGCCTTTTATCAATGTACATGATGGGAAGGTGTCCCCAGATCGAGTCATATAGCCTGATATACTTATTAAAGCCAACTTGGGCCCATTCTCCCATTTATCTGGTGAGGCCCTCGGAGTGGAAAAGTTTCCAGGATTATTTCTTGAGGACACAGGAAAAAAAACAAACACCTGTATCCTCATGAAGGACACACAGGGTCAGTGCTTGTGCAGTTTCTGAAAGCCTGTGTAAAATCAAGCACGTGATTTTGTCTGGGCTGGAAACTCCAGGGATGTACAACCCAGTGTGGGCTGACGGATTGCCTTCTGTACACCTGGTGTCTCACCTAGTACTGTCTTCTTGTCTCGACCAAGGAGCAGCCAGAATGACATTTAAGAATTTCTTGTCCCTTTTTGCTTGTGCCTTGTTGCTGGGTGTGAATAGGGCAGAGGAGGAGACCCCAGAACAGTGTCGGAGTGCAGGCATGATTTTGAATTTGATTCAGTGGTCTCATGTGAGGCTGTGGACACTAATATAGAAATAACATAGTGAGGTTTGTAACCAAACATACTTTAGCAGCTGTGCCCATCCTAGCTGAGCACTCCCCGGGTAAGAAGAGAGACGCAAAATAACCCATGCAAGCAGTCACAGCTGGTTGGAGGTCAGATAGGGCATTCTTATGGCTGACCCTGAGCAGTGACCACTCCTAGCAAAGGAAACTCTCTGATAAAAACACAGAGCAAACAGGATGGTTTGTGATACCATTTGCTTTGTGAGAGGAAGAGTTTCAGAAGTGGTCAAGGGACCTGCCCAGTTAAACAATTGCTAATAATGAGGCTAAACTCAGAATACAAACCTTTTTGCTTCTGAAGTGCCAAAAGAGCTGTGCAGGAACCAGCTGAGTTTGCCCATGAACCTACGAGAGAACAAAAGTAAAAGGAAATTGTTAACTCAGGTTTAACAGGAAGATGCAGTGATTCTCCACTACAGGTCAGCTGTACTTCAGCTTTGGCTAACTGCAGTTTCCCTATAAAGGTCCTGTTGCTTATGTTCCGGTGAATGTGAATGCACTCAGGCTCACAGATCACACACATGAAGAACGTGCTGTTATATTCATCACCGAAGAAATGGGAGCAAAATCTTGCTGCTAAATATTTGTGCCTGTGGCAAAAGGTGGTTTTCAGTGCTTGGTAGCTCTGAGGTGGCTGGGTTTGCAATGACACTGTCTGCTGCATGGAAGGTTTTCTTTTGTTCCTGGGGAAAAAGTTCTCTCTGAAATTTTGGATCTGGATGGAGACTGAGAGAGTATTAGCATATTTAGGTGTGGGGTTTTGGTTCAAAACCATTTTGCAAAACAACAGTCTAGATTTTGAGAACTTCTCACAAGTCTTTCCTGTTCCTTGTCTGGCTGCAGTCACTGGAGATGTGAATGCTGTTTCTAGGTACGTGGTGCATGGTCAGACCTGCTAGCACGTCCTTGGATAACCTCCCTAGGTCTCCCTTCCTGGACCCCTAGGACAGGCCTGTTGTGTATGGCTCTTAACATTTCACCCGCTTTTTTCTGAGACCTGTTCTTAACCCAGATGTTCTGATCTTGTGAAGGTTCCACAACCAATCCCTCTTTGCTTTGACTATCACGCACACACACACAGAGAAGAGAGCAAGGAGATACCTGTACTCATTTTCCTGCTTTCTTTTCTTCTGAACATACAGTAGGTTTGAATGCTTTTCATGGCCATTCTTCTGAAGTACATCTAGTCCCTCATTTATTTTCTGTTTTGTTCCTCTCTCCCCACTTCAGGCAGCTCCATTCTTCACTAGCCAGTTGTTTTGTGAAAACACACTCCTCAGCTAACAAAACCATTTCTCTTTCCTTTAAACTTTGATAGCCCCTGGGGTTTGAAGAACAAACCCAACCACTCGTTTTCCCATTTGAAGGCTTTTTTTCCTCTCTTCAAATCTTGTGCCCTTCAGACAAAATGAGCAGAACTTGTTTTCCCAGTTCAGATACCATCTGGGAGAGTCCCTAATTAAGTTTAACTGGTTTTGTATGTACCTGCAGGACATGGTATGTGCTGTGACTCTGCTTACGAAGGCTGACTATTGTACATTGAGATGTTCAAGAATACAGCAGTTTGACATAATAGACTGCAATTCATAATTCAATTCATAAGGCTATGAACATCTATCCCAAACTGGTGCTGAGTAACAGAGCTGAACTGAGTTAAAGGTCTAGTGCAACCTCATGTAGAGAACAGGAACATCCTGATGAGCAGATTCTGTCATCATAGTACAGCAAACTAAGGAAATTATTTGTACCACTCTTAGAAGGAGAAATGAACTAATCATTTTGGTACCTTCCCAGGGACTAATATTAACGGTGCTCTCCAGACCGGTGCAAAGCTGCTAAATGATTACATTGCTCAGAACGACATTGATGCCAGGAGTGTCTCTCTGATCATCTTCCTCACGGATGGGAGGCCCACTGTTGGGGAAACACAGTCATCCAAAATCCTCAGCAACACCAAGGATGTCATCCGTGACAAATTCTGTCTCTTTACCATTGGCATTGGCAATGATGTGGACCACAAGTTGCTGGAGAGGATGGCGCTGGAGAACTGCGGCATGACAAGGCATTTCCAGGAGGATGAGGATGCAGCCAGCCACCTCAAAGGGTTTGTTCTGCTTTTTCTGTACTTACTTCTGCATTGGGTCCTCTGGGCAAGGGTTTTGGAAAGGAAAATCCTCCAAGGAGACATCACAAGAGATGGGAGTTTCTCTGAGGCTGCACTCTAGTTGAGAGAGGAAGAGTATGCTCAGATACTGAAGATGCTTACCCAGAAATTGTTTGTTTCCTAGCAGACCTCCTGACCTGTTCTGGAGCTTCCTAGCCCCTCAGAACAAGGCATTTGTTTCCCTAATTCAGATCATTGTGTTGGACATGTAAGCCTGGACACAAGGGAGGCATAAGTGCCACCTCTCCACAGGTGGACAGAGGGAGGAAAGGATGCATTGCTCACTTCAGACTGACAACGTGAACAGCATAGAGGGTCTCAGGAATGAAGATCCCAATTTGGGGCAGAAAATGATTTCCTTTTGAAAGAGATAACCTTATGCCCAAACTCAAAAATATTCAACTTTGAAAAATACACAAGGGTTATTCCTGGGATGATCATGTGTTCGCTTAGTTCCCTCATTTTCTGTGACCCAAGCTCCTAACAAGTTTCCTGTAATTCTCATAATTCAGTAAGTCCAGAAATTATGTTCCTCTTCTGTGATCATGTAGTCCAAGGGGAGACCCTAGTGAGGCACAGCAAAAAGATATCTGAATCACAGCTCTGTCTAAAATACCAGGCAGTGTGTCAGTACTTCCAGGTAAAAAGGTTTGGCTTTCACTCACCAAAAGTTAGTGTTTTGAATCTCAGAAACCAAAACGAGACAGTCCTTGAGCAGAGACCTCTTGCCTCACTTAATTAGTGTCTAATTCATCTGGAGCAGTGAGACTCTACACCTTCCACTAGAGGTTTTCTTTCTGTGGTGGTTATGAGTGGACAAGAGTGTCTTCCTTTTAAACTGATGTTTGTAGATCCATCTGCCACTCCACCCATGTCATTTGCTTCTCAGCACATGCATTTTGGATAGCGAGTGGCATTCCCTGGCAAATGAAGGGTGTGTTGATTGATTGGGCTGCAGGAAACCAACACTGCAAGTACTTGTTCAAACACCTCCGAAAACAGCTCACTGTTTATCAAGCTCAGTGGTGGCAAACCCATTTGGTATCTGGTGCCAAATTTATATAGAAAAGCACAATCATTTGCTGGAGGCCAATTCAAATCACTGTTGGAAGGAAAATCTACCTGGTTGCCAATGTAATTTCAGATTTTTTTGATCAGTGCATTGTATTTTTACACAGATACTTCCATGCGTTGGACTCTAAGACAGGTTGTATCTCTCATTCCATCATTTGTTACAATCCAGGAGTTATTTCCCAGCGAGTTCTCAGGATGAATTCTCTCATATTTTAAAATGCGGCGAGGTCTCAGCATCAAGGACACTGGGTGCTCAGAGAGACTTTAAAAGAAAGTCAACCAATTCAGGCTTTGGGTTTCCTTGGAGAGAGAATAGAACAGAAATTACTATTCTAGCTTCCAGACAATCTGTTTAAGCAGATGTGAAAAATAAATGCAGCTTGAACTAAAAAATAGCCGAGGCCAATTTATTTATTTTTTTTTTTTACCAAATTAGACTCAAATGACTTGCCAAGAGACGAGGACCCTGGCATTTAAATAGGAAATATGGCACTCTTGGAGCAGCTTGGGAAGATCCATCAAAAGAACAATGCTGCAGGGTAAACACAGTGCTGTAAACTCCTAGGCCTTATCCCCTTGTAAAAGCTTTATGGCCTGTTCAGTGTGAAGTACTCACAGAAGTATGGTAGGCCATGTTAAGAGGGCATTATGGGGTTAAGCTCCCTGGTTCCATGGCAGCCATGTCTTGCTCCAACACAAAATCAGCCGTAAGGTAACTGCGAGTTCTCTTCTGCCAGGCCACCTGCGTTTAGTAGGATTCTTCCATTCCTTGGAAAGGGCCTCATTTATGGGGGCACAGTGAGATTCCTTCTTGATTTGCTTTCTCCTTTGGTCCTCATTAAACTGTATTCCTGACCGTCTTACACTGACCATCCCAAACAGTAATATCTAGAGCTCCTCCAGTGAAACAGGAGCTTTGGTTCAGATACTGTCCAGCTTTGGAGGACTCTGAATCTTGTTCTTATGGCTTCTGGCTCTAGAATACCATGCCTAATGCCACTAGAAAACTGTGGGTAACAGCATCTCTTCTAAGTACATTTTGAAATAAGTAGGGTGATTTCTGTGAGCCTGAGAAGCCAATAATTTACTTTTAATGGACAGGTCCCCTTAAGCAAACTTAGGTGGCCACAAATATCTTCTTGGAGAGCTCTGGAAACATAGTGAAAGGTAGGTGACTGCCAGGCCATGCTGGGATGCTTCTGACCATACTTAAGAGACTCTGTTTAGGGGCTCTTAGGCTCTGTTTAGAGCCTAAGAAACAGAGAATCACAGAATGGTTTGGGTTGGAAGGGACCTTAAAGACCATCTAGCTCCAACCCCCCTGCCATGGGCAGGGACACCTTCCACTAGACCAGGTTGCTCAAAGCCTCATCCAGCCTGGCCTTGAAGACAGCCAGGGATGGGGCATCCACAACTTCTCTGGGCAACCTGTTCCAGTGCTCCACCGCCCTCTCCGGGAAGAACTTCTTCCTGATATCTAATCTAAACCTCCTCACTTTCAGTTTAAACCTGTTACCCCTTGTCCTGTCACTACAGGCCCTTGTAAAAAGTCCCCCACCATGGAAAGCTAAAAGGAGGCAGAGAATAATTTTGGTTGAAAGTGACCTCTGGACATCATGTAATCCAGCCTTCTGCTCAGACAAGATCTAACTTCAATATTAGGTGAGGTTTCTCAGGGCCTTTCTCACTCAGGTTTTGGAAATCTCTATGGGTAGAGACTCCCTCGTCTCTCTGGCCCCAGTTGCAGTGGATGCAGTAGTTAAATCTGGGGCCTCTAACTGCTCCTGAATATCTTAAGAGCCATATTAGATAGTCTGACTGTATCCTTGGCCATGTATAAGTGCAAGAGTGTGTGTGTACACATGGATAAACAGTACTAATGGTAAGAAATGTGTCTTTGTTTAAGGTTCTATGATGAAATAGGAACACCTCTTCTATCTGACATCCGTGTTGACTACCCTGAAGACAATGTGGAGCAAGTCACCCAGAACTTCTTCCCTAACTACTTCAATGGCTCTGAAATTATAATAGCTGGCAAACTCATCAACCGTACCTCAGATAGTCTTCATGTGGAGGTAACTGCTAGCAACTCCAAGAAGTACATCCTCCTCAAAACAGATGTGTCAGGAATGACATCAGAGGTGTCCCCGGCCTGGAAGATGGCAAAGGTGATAGCAATTACATTGAGAGGGCATGGAGTTACCTCACCATCAAGGAATTGCTTAACTCACGTTTGAAGAGTGATGACAGTCAGGAAAAAGACTATTTGATGGAGAAAGCCAAGTCAATGGCCCTGACTTACAATTTTATTACTCCCTTCACTGTTCTGAAGATGAGAGAGGCTGGGCTCCATTCAGAACCGCCTCAAGAGGAGTTTATCAGCCCTTCTACTGATGGCATTGGTGAGAAGTTGCAGAGCTTGCAGGGACACAAGGCACCACCAGGTATGGGGAGAAAAATGGCCATGTGCTGGTAAGAAATTTTTTTTGCATAGGTAAAGTCTCATGGCTGACTTTGGCCACAGGGGTGATCTAGCCAACAAACCGAGGTGTTTGTTGCTGAGATTTTCCTATTGGTTTTGCTAACCTTGGGGCTGGGTGACCCTGAGCCAACCTTTTAGGCACCCGACTCACTCCCTGGAAGCACTTAGTGCTCTGTAGAAACTACTGAAGGAAAATTGGTATTCTAAATGCAGCCTAAAGTAGCTGCAGGAATATGTCCCATAACCTCACTGAATAATATTTTGGGAACATTATTATACTATGGCTTTTTCTGCTGCTCAATAAGTCATTGTAACAGCCTTCCTTCCCCACTTCTAGGTATACGCAGACAGCAAGATAAGCAAAGAATTAAAATCTCCAAAACTTCAGGTCAGTGCCTGTTTTCATGCCTTTAATAATCCAAAATAACAATGGTTTATTTATGGAAAACTCAGTTGCATGCCACCGTAGTGTAACTGTCCCAACGGATCAGCCAAAATCCTAGTTACTAGACCTGCAGAGTGGGTAGGAAAATGAAAACAAACCCAAAATACAGGGAGGATCAATAAGGAGAAGTGTGAGGAAACATAGCAAGGCAGATGATCAACACGACTTGATCCTCATGTTTAAGACTTCTGCAGGTTAAGGGAGAACAGGAAGCATGTTCTCTCTGTATTAGAACTAACCAAAAATACATTTTACAAGGTAACGTTGCTGAAACATGAAAATTGTTGTCAAAGAAAAAAATTCGTTAGTGTTCTGCTATTGCCCTGTCAGTTCTGCACCTCTACTGAACATCCTTTTCAAACATTAAACACTAAAGAATAAACCCAGATCAAGAATGTAGACTTGAATTTCACTGGATAAAGTTAAATTTACCTAAAAAACTAGGGTTTTGGCTTGTCTTATTATTAACAACAACTATCTGGTGGTTGATGAAAGGTCAAGGTTTGTTGAAAAATTAAGGTCATGGGATTGTTTAAAATCTGCTGTTGACTGCTCCAATCTGATGATGAGGACCAGGAAGGTTCAGTGTGAGGTGTGCCCCTGCAGCACTCCTTGGTTAGAGGGTACAGTTCTGTGTGCTGCAGGGGAGGTAGCCTCCCAACAGAGTATGGAGGAGTATTAAAACACCTGCATGACAATTCTCATAAATCACTGAGATGATATTCCAGGAAGAAAATATCCTGGTTTTCACTTGGGCTGCTTTGGGGTTTGAGTTTTCGTTGAAAATCCAACCTCTTCAGTGAGAAAAACAAAACAGAACAAAATAATCCTTGTGAAAAACAAAGCAAAACTTGGCATTTCCTGGCAAACTCCACCCGACCCTCTAAAAACATCACACTGGGAGGTCTTAGAAAAAAACAGGGATAAACACAGTTTGAAAAGCAGTTTTGTTACATTTTTGGACACTGCAGTTTTGTGTAAAAGTCTCTCACGTTTGTCTCTTTTTCCATGTCTTCTTAGCGGATGGAGACCCTCACTTTGTCATTGATTTTCCCTCCAGCAAGTTCTCTGTCTGCTTCAATATTGATGGAGAACCAGGGGACATTCTTCGACTGGTCTGTGATCATAAGGAATCTGGTGAGCAGCCAAGCGAAGCAGTTGTGTGTGGAGGAAAGACCAATTGCAAGGCCAGCTCTCTAGCAATAAGACTAAGCACCAAGGGGCTTCATAGGCGAGAAAGTGGCAGGAAATTAGAAAAAGTTGCTTTTCTGGGCAGGCAATGGAAAACTGGTGCACACCAGTTTTCTGGCTCTAATAATCTGGATTAGAAGGGGAGCTAAAATGTTCCCTTGCATTTACTGATCTCCACCTTTATCATGGCTTATGGGTAAATTCACAGAAAGCCTCAGCAAGGAGCGGGCCTGGCCGCTGTTACATACTCAGTCATCTACAGAAGTGTTTGTCAACAGGGTAGGCCTAGCCATAGCGAAAACTGGCCTTGAGGTGATTCCAAACATGACCTATTTCAGGTCTTCATTGACTGGGATCAAGGGAAGAGCAATTACATGTAAATAGCCAAGAGATCCACTTGAGTGCATTGAGAACCACATTGCAACCCCTCAGTCCAGCTAGACTGCAGAGCTCAGTCCTGGCCATTCGACCTGGCACGGTCTGGGGGTTGTGTTTGACCAGCGCTACGACAACCCCAGTTGTCCGAACAGCTGCAGGTTGTTTTGCATTCCGAGTGTTTGCATAAGCCATGCAGCCACCTCCGTGCTGAGAGATTACAGAGGAAATTCAGCTTTCTGGTGCAGAGACAGTGCATTTCTTTGATGGTGCAACCTCACCAAACCTCAAGTTACAAAGTCACAACATGCAAATAAAAGATTTTGATCCATCAAAATTCCTCTGTTATTGGAACTTCACTCCTTACTTACAGTACTGTTTGCTTCAGGACAGAGCAAGGTATCCAAACACGCTAACCGAGCACTGAGGCTGTTTCAGTGAAGAGACTACCAAACTGGTTACCAAGTCATGACAGCTTTGAGAAAACCCACACAATTCGGGATCTGCTTTGCCCAAGCCAGTCTGATCCTCAGGGGCCCAAACTGTGGTCTGATCCCATCTGGAATTCCAAGCAGGGCAGCTAATAAGCAGATTATGTCCTGAGCAGGGAAATGGTGGGAGGAAGGGGTGTCAAAACCAGAGACAAAGCACAGACTTGTTTTAAAAAGAAGAGAAACTACCCCACAGTAAAGGTATAACAATTCTGTTCTGTGTGGCTGTGGTCTGCCCTCCATATTTCCATGTTCATGCCTGCTTCAGAGAGTAAGATCCAGCGCCTGGCAATGTTTCCCTTAAACTTCTTTCACAGCCTACTGTTTGTGCTACTGCTTGAATGATTCTGTGGCTTAAATGCAGAATGAGGAAAACAGGCTCTCTAGCACTAGCAAGTTGAGCCCATGAAGACAGAAGTGAGAAATCCCAGAGGAATGATGGGATATGGAGATATTTCATTTCAGTGTTGATGGCTTGAGTCTACCTTGGGTTAGCAACAAGCCTCCTTCTTTATTGTTACTGTCTAGCAGTTGTTCAGAGGCCTGTGGGAAGTGAGACACTGTCTTATGGACAGCAAGTCACAAAATCATTACAATAATAGGGAATCTTACGTGGACATCTAGGCTTTATTTGACTCAGGGATCTATACCTTAGACTACTCAAAAGTGGTTCTTTTGGAGCAAAACAGATGGAAGTGGGGAAAGCAGCACTGGTGAAGCTGGAAGTAACCCAGTGGGAGTGTAGGGTTCAGGGTTCTCCTCTGCAGTGACAGAGAGAACCTGAATTTCTTACACTGCCACCTGAGGAGGTTCAGCACTGCACCTCAGACTGTTGCAGGTCAGGCTCTTCCCTCTACAGGCCCTGCTTAGTCCTTAGTGTGTCAGCCAAGGTAGTAGCCCTCAGTCTGTGGCTTCTCAGGCTAATTCTCTTAGGAGTCAGGTAGAGACATCAATGATGAGGATGATCAAACCACAGCTGTCTGCTACCCTGAGTTTCTCTGAGACATCATCATTCAGACACACCCAGGTCCTGTTCCTAGAAGTTCAGTCCCCATGCCAGTTGGTGGTATGAGGGAAAGCAGGCCTGCCAGCAGCAGTTCTCCAAGATCTGGCGTGTTTTCCCAGGTTTAAGTTATGCATCAACAAATAGGTGGTCTAGGTGACTCATCTTATGTTTGGTCAGGCTATAGGGGTCAGGAATGTAAATATGTGTCTTACATGGCTTAAAAACCCCACACATCATTGTCTCAATCATAGGTAGATCTAAGGTTGGATGGAGCTTGGGAAGGTGCTGTGCTGAGGAGCAGCTGAGCCTATCCTGTAGCACTGTGTACACAATGTTCAGACTAATAAGGCTGGGGGCACCTGTCTCCAGGGAAGACTAGTATTTTTGATCTTGGGTAAATTTAAGTGCTCTGTATAAGATAATAATTTTATAACAGACCGGCTACACTGTTTTATAACATTGGTAGGTAAAATAATTGAGCATGAGGTGGTGAATCTGCATGTCCTAATGCAAGGTTTGTATCTTTGAGACAATAGACCTGTTTTTGGTTCCAGCTTTCACATATTGATTATTTTCCTGCAAGGTGTAACTGTGAATGGGCAATTAATTGGAGCTCCTGCACCACCCAATGGCCACAAGAAGCATCGGACTTACTTCAGCACCATCACTATCCTCAGCAATAAGCCAGAGCGATCGTACCTAGAGATCACACCCAAAAGAATCATCCTGGATGATGGGGAAAGACTTCTTCTGTCCTGTGATCGGAGTGCTGTTGTGCGAAGCAGCAGCCTCGAGGTGTCCATCTCTGCCAATTCCAACATCACTGTGACGATACGAGGCACAATCAGCTTTGTCATCCTCATCCACCATTACAAGAAGCCAGCCCCGTATCAGAGGAATCACCTGGGGTTCTACATCTCCAACAGTAAAGGCCTGTCTTCTGACTCCCATGGATTACTAGGTAGGTAACAGGTTCTCAGGTTCAGAGCTGTAAACCAGACAGAAATGATCCTTCCAGTTTTAAAGAACAGAGATAGGAGGTAATGAACAAGGCAGGTGGGGATTAGGTTTCCAGGTGAGGCTCTACATCCACTCTCAGCTTCTCTATTGCTAGTATCTCCTACTCCTCTTCCATCTTTTACTGTATGAGCTATCTCCCACCATCCTAGCTATGTGGCTGTGCCTGTTTTTGACATTTCAACAGTTTTTATGATTGTTTGATACAGTTGTCATTAGAATACACATGCTTGATGCTCCCAGTACAGATACAGAACCCAAATATTGCTCAAGAACCCTGAATAAGGCACCAGTAAGAGATTCTCTAACAGCAGTCCTAATTCAGAATAGCCCAGCTGCTACTGTGTTCTCAGGGACAGAGCAAAGTAGAGTCTGAATCCCTCCAGGCAGAGAGGACCATCAGCTGAGGTCTCGCAGGTTCTGAAAGAGAGCTCTACTCACAGAGCTAGCACATTGCCAGAGGTCATTGGCATAGCCTTCAAGTATTGCACTTGCATATGTCCAGAGGGTCTGTGTGGTGGGTTGACCCTGGCTGGAGGCCAGGTGCCCACCAAAGCTGCTCTGTCACTGTTCTCAGCTGGACAGGGGAGAGAAAATACAATGAAAGGCTTGCGTGTTGAGACAAGGACAAGGAGGGATCATTCAGCAGTCACTGCCACAGGCAAAACAACCTTGACTTGGGGAAAAAATTAGTTTATCACCATTTGAAGCAGAGTAAAAAAGAGAACTAAACCTAAATCTAAATCCACACTTGAGTTTGCCCTAAAATGTTTTGCTCCCAAGAAGTCAAGGAAAAAGAACTTGGAGCTTCAGGTCTAGGTCTTCTGCTTGCTGATGGGCTTTGTAAGGGTTATTATCCTCTAGTAGCCACAGCCCACAGAAGGGAACTTACAGAGAGCAGCTCAACAAGCTCTTTAGCTCAGCCATTGTGTCTTGATGAGTGGAAAAAATAAATAGGGTTTTATTCTAATCTCTATCTCTATGTGAGATTTAGAAAAGAATTGCAGGACCTAGATTCACCCTGCCATTGTAGAGAAGCCCTTTACAACCCCATATGCTAAGAATCCTCAAAACATGGCCTATGTAGAAAAACCCAAAGCTTATAAACAGGCACAAAACAGCCAGTCATGGATTCTATTTTATCTTGCTTTGCAGGTCAGTTCTTGAACCATGAAGTTAAACTTCTTCAGGAATCTCTAAACACAAGTCATCCGCAGGTTGGTCAGAACCAAACCGAAGCATTAAAGCCAAACCCTACAAATACCCTGAAAGTGAAGGGACGGCTTGTTCCTGTTGTGTGGAAGCAGAGGAGGATCTACAATGGCCAGCAGGAAGTCAGCTGCTGGTTTGCCAAAAACAATGCGGACAAACTGATCGACGGGAGCTATAAAGACTATTTGGCCTCTCACCCTTTCGACACAGGGACCAGCTTTGGGACAATGAACAGTCTTTAAAACCGACCATAGGAATGCATTACAGTGGCATGTGTGACAGTGGTTCCCTTCTGAAGCCTCTAGAGCTAGGCAACTTAGGAATATTCCCTCACTTTTTGGTGCCAAAGAAACCAAGGCTTTTTGCCCTTGGAAATCAGCTGTCTCTCTTTCATGCTAGATGAATACTGTTCATCAAATTCCTGAAGACGAGGTTGGGGGGAAGGGTTGAGGACATAGTTAAAGGCAGGATTGGTACTCTCCCAGTGGGAAGGGAGGGAGAAATGGGCCAGCACTCATATCTAGCAGTGCAGAGAGCTGCTGGCCTTAAAATAAACCCATGCAGGGATGTGTGCAATACCCCCAGGGGCTGATGTGTCACCCAGTGAGAGGCACAGATCATACGGCACAGTGCCTACCTAGAGAAACAACCTTGGGTCATATGCCTTGCAAAGTGACTTGGAGCACCTACTCCAACCATTGTCCCTGGGGAAAGAAGAGAGAGAGAGGAGAGGTGGGTGCATGTCAATCTGCAGTGACCCATTAGCATCAAAGAGGTAACAAAGAAATCAAAACCGTAAATCAACAGGCTGCAAGAGGGTATTGTGTTCTTGGTTATTGGGATGGCATCTGGATTTCCCACCAAATACGATGTTCCCTGCACAACTATGAACCCTTAAACCAGTGGTGAAAACCATCACGTGGTTTATTGCTGTCTCAGTGCACAGGCTGCTTGCTGAAAAAGCACCTCTTATCCTAGCAGCAACAGGAGCCCTGCAGCGTGCCATTCCATGAAGCACCTCATTGATATGACATTGCAGGTTAGTGATTTCTTGAGTCTTGGCTCCCTCAGAGACAAAGTTCCACCATGAGCTTCCAGCAGACCTGCCGCTCCCTTGAGCCGAGCATCACTTCTGCTTAGCAGATACTTAAATTCTCCAAAGGATGATGAGCCAGCACCCATGACAGCTTATTACCCTGCAGAGCAGCCTCTTAAATGTAGACATTTCTAGCTGCATTTCTAATAAGGTAGGAAGTTCTTTATTTACTCCAAATTGTCAAAAATACTTCATCCTAATTTCTCTGGCTCCTTCTCCTTCCTT